TTTTCGGTCTGGTTACTACCGTTTATGTCAGAACCGGTGCCATCATGGCACCGGACACCGGTACCCATCCCTATTCCTGAGTGTATTGTGCTATATTTAAATGAGCAGAAAGCGACTTCACTCGTATCTGCTGCTGTTCTTGCTGATGAGTTTGTGCTCACTCATAAAGCCTCGTTTACTGGCAGTGAGAAGCCACGGGTTAGCGCTGTGCAACAGCTCCACACGGCTAAAGTGTCTGGTTCCAGGGAAAACCGTGAATATTTTTACTGTCATAAAGCTGGACATGTGATTGCTGACTGTTTAGCCTTAAAACGCAAAACATCAAATGCTCAGCAACCCAAAGGGGTGGATCTTTTGGAAATGACAGTCTTCATTACAAAGTTTTCTTCGTTATGAATTAGCATACATGTTTTTATTGAACATTTGAAGAACTAGCAAAAAACCAGAAACTCTTGTAGAGGACATAAAGTCAGAGATAGAAACGACAAGGAGCAGATGCATCTAGTACAGGTAGAGCTGCTGCAAAAACCCACAGAGCCCAGCAGCCAGCGCAACAAATTCTGGATCCTTTGCTTTTAGTTAGCAGTTAGCATTAGCAGCACATCCTGCGTCCGATGTGAAAGGACTTTTATGCTGCGCACTGTGACTCACAGCAATGGTCCCGGTCAGCCCTGACTTTGTGTTAAACTAATCCTAAATTAATAATGGTATTTCTAACCACTGACATACCACAACTTTATCCTTTCAACAGCTGCTGAAAGTTAGGGGACCTAACTGCTATCGGATATTTATATAGAGATCCTCCAGCTACAAACTGTATTACCCTTCAAGGACCTGCAGTTCAAAAAAGTGCCCCTCTGACAGCCAAACCCATCTGTTCTCTGATTGGATTGTTACATTTGTGATTGACATGACATTGACCAATCAGATGAAAGGAAGAAAAATAGGGTCAAAATTCGTACTTGTAACATGCAGGCTTTTTTTTTTTTTTGGCTAAGTCCACATCCAAATCTTTTTTACGCACACACAAATTCTTTTTACACATAAAAATCTTTTTTACACACACACAAATCTTTTTTACACATACAAATCCTGATTTACAAGTACAAAACTGATTTACAAGTACAAAATATTTATGACCACATTTTGAGCCCATAGAGGTTCCCAAACTGTCATCCTCTCGAGTGTTTTACCTTTTTCTGCTGAAAGTGAATGTGGTTTTAATTCTGTTCTACTGGGGATAGAGATGGGTTACGCTCCCAAGACCAGTTCACAGAGTTTTTATAAAATCAAAACTTGTTACAGGATTTTTCCCTGTTGCTGTTTGCCCATCCTTGCCAATAGAGGGTGTGGCCATGTTGTTGGGCAATGATATTGCGGGAGGGTTAATGCTCCCTCGTCTTGAGGTTTTAGACAACCCCCTAAATCAGAAAACCTCTGATGTTTCCATGCACCCTGGGCTGTATCCAGCCTGTGCAATTACTCGAGCACAAGCTCGTAAAGATACTGATGTTGCTCTCTCTGATTCGGTGTTGATGTCCTCATTTTCCGAGGAGAATGATGTACAAACTAAAAGAAACAATCTTCTGTCACCGCCAGACTCAGTGAAACCTGAGGAGCCCGATCCATTTCCAAAGATCTCTTCGCTGCCCTTGACCAAAGACCAGCTGTCAGCAGCTCAATTAACTGATAAAACGCTGCAGAGCTGTTTCAAACATACGGTAAGTGCTGAGCAAGTCAATAAAGAGCAACAAACCTATTTTGTAGAACATGATGTTCTAATGCGTCAGTGGTCTCCACCAGGTGCAGAAGGTGCAGAATGGAGTAATGTTAAGCAGGTTGTCGTGCCCGCTGTGTACCGGCAGAAAATCCAGGCTCTTGCCCATGAATGCCAGTGGTCAGGACACTTGGGCATCACAAAAACATACCAGCTACTATTAAAGCATTTCTTTTGGCCTGGTATGAAGCGTGATGTTTCTAAATTTTGCCGCAGTTGCCATGTGTGTCAGATTGCATGTAAACCTAATCAAGTAATACCCCCAGCTCTGTTGTGTCCCATTCCTGTAGTGGATCAGCCATTTGACCATGTCATAGTCGATTGTGTGGGTCCACTACCTAGAACAAAATCAGGAAAGCAATACCTTCTCACGATCATGTGTGCAGCTACCTGTTTCCCCGAGGCTGTCCCGTTACATAAGGTTACAGCGAAATCAGTTGTTAAGGCGTTGACAACATTCTTTTCAGTGTTTGGCCTGCCAAAGGTCATACAGACTGACCAGGGCTCAAACTTTCAATCTAAGTTATTCAAACAAGTGGCTAGCACTCTAGGTGTCAAACATGTTGTGTCCTCTGCTTATCATCCTGAATCGCAAGGTGCATTAGAGCGGTGGCATCAGACCTTAAAGGCGATGCTGCGCAAATACTGCTTACAGTCTGAAAAGAGCTGGGATGAGGGAGTTCCATTTGTGTTATTTGCTGCCCGTGACGCTGTTTAGGAGTCACTTGGTTTTAGTCCTTCTGAGCTGGTATTTGGCCATAGGCCACGCGGATCCCTCAAAGCTCTGAAAGAGTTATTTTTGAGCCCACACAGGGTTTCCAAGGTAAATATAAGGAGGTATGTAAAACACTTCCGTGAGCGTTTGAACCAAGCCAATGCTCTGGGTAAACAGCACCTTGCTGTTTCACAGGGGAAAATGAAACGCCATTACGATAAGGCTTCTGTTAAAAGAACCTTTCAGGTGGGTGACCACGTTCTTGTGCTGTTGCCTGTTCTGGGCTCAGCCTTGTCTGCTAGGTATAGCAGCCCCTTTGAAGTCTGTGAAAAGAGAGGGGAGACTGATTATGTAATTTGCACTCCCGACCACAGGTGCAAAACACGCGTCTGCCACATAAACATGTTGAAATTATACCATCCTCGATCGACACCAGGGCCGGCTATCGCCTGTGCTTGTTGTAGCCTCAAGCCACCTAGAGGAAGGAGGGGTGGACGAGGTTGATGGTTTAAAACTAAGTTATCCCACCTGTTCTAGACCCCGTCTGTCTAACTCAGAAATGCTGAAAGCATTACCGAGCTTGCTCGAACATCTGTCTTCTGAGCAGCAAGATGACATAACTGTCTTGATTAGTGAATACACCTGTTTATTCGGGGATGTGCCAACTCGCACTACAGTGCTAGAGCATGATATCGATGTCCAGGGAGCTAAACCTATTAAGCAGCATCCTTGTCGAGCCAGCCCCCATAAGCTCATGACTGACTATCTGCTATCTGCTGCAACATGGCTTAGCGAAGCCATGTTGCAGTCAAAGCCCCTGGAGCTCACCTTGTATAGTGGAGTCTAAGCCAGATGGCTCGCCCCATTTCATTACAGACTTATGGAAGGTGAATTCTGTGACTGACTCACATCCTCTCCAAAGAATTGAGGATTGTGTGGACAGTATTGGGACTGCTCAGTATGGCACTAAATTAGATCTTCTTAAAGGTTACTGGCAGGTCCCTTTAACTGAGCATGCCTCTAACATCTCTGCCTTTGTAACACCTGATGATTTTCTACAGTACCTATGTACCAATGGCATTCAGCATGTGTAACGCTCCTGCCACCTTCCAGAGGCTGGTAAATAAAGTCCTCCATGGCTTGTCCAACTGCAGTGCCTACCTAGATGATCTAGTAATTTATACTGAAACATGGAAAGATCATTTGGAAACTCTACACCAGGTATTTCACCATTTGGCTCAAGCTACTCTAACTCTCAACTTAGCTAAGTGTGAGTTTGCCAAAGCTACAGTGACGTACTTGGGCAGGGAGGGGGACGTGGACAGGTCCGGCCCATTGATGCAAAAGTGGGGCGATCGTGGCTCAAGAGTTGGGAGGTCGCCTTGTTATCGGAAGGTTGCCGGTTCGAGCCCCGGCTTGGACAGTCTCGGTCGTTGTGTCCTTGGGCAAGACACTTCACCCGTTGCCTACTGGTGGTGGTCAGAGGGCCCGGTGGCGCCATTGTCCGGCAGCCTCGCCTCTGTCAGTGCGCCCCAGGGTGGTTGTGGCTACAATGTAGCTTGCCATCACCAGTGTGTGAATATGTGTGTGAATGGGTGGATGACTGGATATGTAAAGCGCTTTGGGGTCCTTAGGGACTAGTAAAGCGCTATATAAAGACGGGCCATTTACCATTTACCAGGCCATTTACCAAAAGTGGCAGTGATTAAAGAGTTCCCCACACCTAGCACCAGACGTGAGTTGTGTAGGTTTCTAGGGATGGTGGTCTACTACAGAAACTTTTGTAAAAATTTCTCCTCTGTAGTCAAGCCACTGACTGACCTACTCAGTCTAAAGGTTCAGTTTCTATGGTCAAGTGAGTGTCAAGATGCTTTTGAAAGTGCAAAAGCCCTCCTCTGCCACACTCCTGTGTTAGCTGCACCTGATTTGACGCGACCATTCAAATTTCAGGTTGATGCCAGTGCTGTCGGGGCTGGGGCTGCAAGTCTTCTTGCAAGAAGACTTGCAGGGTTTGGACCACTCCGTTTGTTACTTTTCCCGCAAGTTTAATAAAAATCAGTTAAACTACTCCACCATTGAAAAGGAGACCCTGACTTTGTTGTTGGCTCTTCAGCACTTTCACGTATACCTGGGGTCTAGCATGTTACCTCTTGTTGTGTACACTGACCACAACCCACTTGTGTCCTTTGCTCGCATGTTTAATCATAAGCAGCGCCTTATGCGCTGGGCTCTGTTGCTGCAGGAATACAACTTAAGTATTCACCACAAAAAGGGGTCTGAAAATGTTTTGGCTGATGGTCTGTTTTGGTTGTAAACATGTTTTGTGGTGTTTGTTTTTTGTTTTTGTTACAGTTCCTAATATCTGCTTTTGCCCAACATAATTGGTAATTTAAGGGGAGGGATGTTACGGCCCCCGGCCTCATGTGGCCCTGCCTGCCTCTGTCGAAATCAAAGCGTTCCAGGACTCACGGGTGATTGGCTGGCCAGGGACCTATGCAGTTGTGTTTTAATTTTTCAGAAAATTTAGTGAGAAACTTCAGGCCAGTATATATTTTCTGAAGTGACGGACTAAATGGAAGATGTTTAAACTGCATGGAATTGGCAGATCCAGCAGCCAGAATAAGATCTGCTATTACACTGAGGTGACTTCCTTTTACCTTGATGCTTCATCCTGTGAGGATCTGTGTCTCGCTCCATCTGCCCCATCAAACTGCTCTGCTGTAGTGCTCTTGTATGAAAGCCAGTGTGTCTTTGTGACTGTGTGCATATGTGCATCTGTGCATAAACTTGCCTTTGTTGGACAAACAGAGCGCATTTGTTTCGTTAACATCATGTGTCATGCTGCAACGCATCAGCCCAGACATTATGGAATGGAGAAAAAAAACAAAGAAGAAAGAAGCTGAGTTTAAAGCACTTTAATTCAGTTTGTGTTATTGTTGTCCCATCTAGTTTTCAGACCGTTTCCAGTGTGTGTGGTGAGTAAAATGACCTGTGCAGCGACCTTTAGGCCTGCCTGGGCTGTGAAAAACAACAAGTACTCTCATGATCTCATCCCAAAAACCAGTTGGTACTGGTTCAAACCACAGGTCTACTGCCATACTAAAGACAGAGAGAGAGAGAGAGAGAGAGAGAGAGAGAGAGAGAGAGAGAAGAAGGGTTGAGGGGAAGAGAAGTGGTGCAACTATAGGGAGAAACATGAGAAGAAGAACACAGAAGGAGAAAGATGGAAAATCAATCCCAGGCCAGCTAAAATGGTAGTATGGACATTATTAACCCTCTGAAGTCTAGATTGTACTTTCTCAAGTTTTGGCAACCAGGGAACATAGGAACAAATGATGTAATGATCATTCTAACTGATAAACATCCAAAACTATTCACATTAAAAGTCGATTTGGCCTTTGTCCATAATTTGGGTGGTAGTATTAGCACTTACAATGACTCAGCTTAGGATGATGGCTTTTTCTTTGCAAGGCATTCAAGCCATGTTAATGAATAGTCTTGTTTTGTGGATGGTATCAGATGTTCTCTTGGTGGAGGTCCATTTTCGGTGTGCTTTTCCTTCCTGATTGCTTTTCTCTTTGCCAGTCATTGACAGCTACATCTCCCCTTTATTAGCCTAACAATACCTCTGTGGCTAGTGACAAAGGAAGCAGAAGATTACTTCACTAACTTTCCAGCATCACTAGTATTTAATTTGACATACATGTTAATACCCAAATTTATAGCAGTGCTGGAGGTTACATTCTGATTATCTATATATCGTGCAAACTGGGCAGATATAGTTCTGTATTACCTAAATGTTACTTAGCGGCATCTTCAGATGAAGAGAGGTACAGGTTAAACTGATGACCATGCAGCAGACATTCTGAGCCAATAAATGTTCAGATCTTGTTAATGTCAGCTGTAGCCAGGAACTTTTTGGTGTTATCACATTGCATCTTACCGTGAGTTTCTCCGGCAAGTGCATTCAAAGTTTCTTTGTAAAAGCCTGCATGTCAAACTTAACATCTTCTTTACATAAATATAATATGTCTCTGCACTTTCAGCGATTCAACTAAAGGTCATTATCTTCTGGACCTTTGTGCCATATATCATCAATCATATTGTCATTAAGAGCCATTTCCACCAATCTCCTAAAATGTTTTTTTCCTCTTGTCAATTCCCCTTCTCATCATCTTCCTCTTCTTTTCCTCACTTTCCACTCCTCCTTCATATTTGCAGTTTGACATCAACCAGCTGATGACCTCAGGGAATGTAAGCAATAGACACAGTCCAATCCAGAAGCCCACAGAGTCTCCTATTAGCATTGCCAGCAACAGTAGCATGGGCCGGGTCAGTGGCATGGGTTTGGAGCAGTCACCAGTGGACCGCACCAAAGGCTTCTTCCCTGATGAATCGGAGCCCCTGCTTCGCTGCGACTCTACCTCCAGCAAAGACTCCGCCCTGAGTAGGAATGGCTCCTTCATTACCAAAGGTGAGACATGACCACAAACAGATCTATTCCAATTAAGTTCCAAGGATGGTTCAATTCATTTGGTGCTTTTGCGGTTCTTGGTGGTCTAGGAACGCCTTTGCAGTTCCCAGCTTCCCTTGGTTAGTGGCACTTCTCGGTGCATTTGCTGGTGCATCCTCCAGAAGTATCCACTTGCACCTCATATTCAACTAAACTAGAAGGACAGATGGTCCCACATGACCTGCCGGCGCTTTGTAATGTGACAGTGTGTAATCACAAAAAGGAAAACCACCCACAGACCACAACAGTCTCACCAAAACAAATCTCGGGTTGTATTTTGCCTACTGAACCTGTCTGCTGTCATCTTGCATGGTCAAAAACTTCACTTGATCAGCTCAGCTTCGACCCCTCCATCAGTGAACAAGCAGATCCTCACTGAAAAAATGTAGTTTTGCCAATAAGTATCAAATTTTTGTCTACTATGCCTTCCATCCGGTTCGAGCTGATATGGGATCCCAGAATGGAATTATGAGGTTTTATGAGAAATCTGATTGTGGGCAGAACTTGCTGGGATTGGCAAAAATGGGCAAACCATCACACTTCTAGAATCTATACCATTTGTAGACACCACGAGCTATCAGGGCCCGAGCACTGAGAGTGCGAAGGCCCTTTTGTATCTGCTCCGTTTTTTAGGGCCTGAGCACTGACAGTGCGAAGGCCCTATTGTATCTGCTCTGTTTATTAGGGCCCGAGCACCGAGAGTGTGAAGGCCCTATTGTATCTGCTCCGTTTCTTATTATTAGGGCCCTAGCACTGACAATGCGAAGGCCTTATTATATCTGCTCTGTTTATTATTATTAGGGCCCGAGCACCGAGAGTGCGAAGGCCCTATTGTATCTGCTCTGTTTCTTCTTCTTCTTATTATTATTAGGGCCCGAGCACCGAGAGTGCGAAGGCCCTATTGTATCTGCTC